ACCTAATGAAATCCTCAGAAACCTAAGCTTACTTAAACCCTCATACGCCCAAAACCATACTGAGCCCGAATACAAGACCAAAAGTGAGGCCGAATACAAAAAACTTTTCCGAAACCATACACACCCCAGACCCCAGACCCGGAGCCTGCCACGACTGCGGGGTATGTTTAAACATCTACCCCTTCTTGGGTTTAGGGCTTAGGGCTAGGCCCTCAACCCTTCTTTGCTTTTGTTTGTTTTTCTTTGGAGGGATACGGATACCGGAGCATGGCGCAGGGAAAGCATCGCCCCCAAACCCCCCACAGACTCTCGAAGGCATGTCCTCCTCGAAGAGGCGGTTCAAGTGCGTTCCAACGCCCACCCCCAGCTGGCACTGGATCTTCCTCGGTCTAAGGCTTAGGGGTCTCTCGGTCGTTTTGGCTTTCTAGGGTTTTTAGGGTTAAGGGTTTCTCGGGTTGTAAAGGTTTAGGGTCTCTAGCGTTTTAACGCTTTCTAGTTTTTTAGGGCTTCTAGGGTTTTAAAGCGTTCTAGAGTTTGGGGTTTTTAGGGGTTCTTAGGGTTGAGCGGAGGTTTTTGTCTATGGCTAAGGCTAGGGGTCAAGGCTTCAGGTTTATATGTTGAGCACTCGGAGATTGAATGATATTTGGGGGGGGGGGGGGGGGGGGTCCGTTGAAAAGTTGGGTTTAGGGTTGAGGGTTGAGGTTTAGGATTTAGGGTTTAGGATTAGGTTTAAGGGTTAAGGGTTAAGGGTTAAGGGTTTAGGGTTTAGGGTTTAGGGTTTAGGGTTTAGGGTTTAGGGTTTAGGGTTTAGGGTTTAGGGTCTAGGGTTTAGGGTTTAGGGTTTAGGGTTTCAGGTGGAGGGTCTACTCTGCAGCTCCATGCTGCTTCATGCAGGTGATCCAGAGCATCTGGACGTAACTTGGTGGCATACTTGCCCTAAACCCTAAACCCTAAACCCTAAACCCTATACCCTAAACCCTAAACCCCAAACCCTAAACCCTAACCCCTAAACCTGAAGCAATCTCGCAGAAGGACTTCTGTGGTATGCATCGGGATGAACAGTACATCGGCCCTCTGGCCCCAGAAGTTGATAACATGCTCCACACTCGCCTCGCGTATTTCACCCCCTTGCCTGGCGCCGGTTTCTTCTTCGCTCTGCCCGAAACCCTAGACCCCTAACCTCTAAACCCCTAAACCCTAAACCCTAAACCCCTAAACCCCTAAACGCCTAAACGCCTAAACCCCTAAACCCTAAACCGGTGCACTCTGCTCTCGCGGCATGGCTCAGGTGGAGAGCCAGTTCTTCGGGTTTGCCGCCGCGCTGCCGCGAGTGAGCATGCAACATGTTGAAGTTTTTTTGCACAGGTGTGCATGGGAGCCTTGGAATCTGGTTTAGGGTTTAGGGTGTAGGGTTTAGGGTTTGGGGTTTAGGGTTTAGGGTTTACGGTTTAGGGTTAGGATTTAGGGTTTAAGGTGGGGTTCCAAGAATGCTTCTTGTGCTTTATGACTTGGAGTGCTAGCAGAGAAGGTAGCGAGGCTGTCATCGCAGCTAGTTCGTTGCCTCTGACCCAAGTCCTCCTCCCAAAAGCCCATCACCCAAATCCTACACACCAACCTGGCCCCTAAAACCCTGAACTAACCCTGTGAACCCTCACGCGCCTAAGCCCCCATAACCTACGCTGCAAAATCCCTAAACCCTTGGTCGGAGGGTTTTGAGGCTGACAGCTTAAGACCCGAAACTCTAAACTCTAAACTCCATCCTACCTTGCAGGTTCAAAGGCCCTACAACCCTAAACCCTAAACCCCAAACCCCAAACCCGAAACCCGAAACCCTAAACCCTAAACCCTAAACCCCAAACCCCAAACCCTAAACCCTAAACCCTAAACCCTAAACCCTAAACGACTTCGGGAACGGAGACCCCCGAGCTGCCCAGGCGCAAGGCGTGCGGGCCACCGATTCGGTGCCGGATCGTGTTGGTGGCGACGTTGGAGTAGAAAGGGATGAGCCCTGCCTTCAGGGTTTAGGGTTTAGGGTTTAGGGTTTAGGGTTTAGGGTTTAGGGTTTGGGGTTTAGGGTTTAGGGTTTAGGGTTTGGGGTTTAGGGTTTGGGGTTTAGGGTTTGGGGTTTGGGGTTTGGGGTTTGGGGTTTGGGGTTTGGGGGTTGGGGTTTGGGGTTTAGGGTTTAGCCCTGCCTTCAGGGTTTGGGGTTGAAGAGTTTAAGTGTTTAAGGTTTAGGGTTTAGACTTTGGGGAATAGCCCTGCTTTCAGGGTTGGGTTGAGGGGTCTAAGGGTTTAGGGTTTGGGGTTTAGGGTATAGAGATTAGGGGTCTAAGGGTTTAAGGGTTTGGGTTTAGGGTATAGGGTTTGGGTTGAGGGTCCAAGGGGGTAAGGGTTTCAGGGGTTAGTGTGTGGGGTTTAGGGTTCCGGGGTTTAGGGATTAGTAGATTTAGGGTTTAGGGGTCTAAAGTTTAGTGTGTAGGGTTTGGGGGAGCCCCCACAGCCTTTCCCCTGAACCAAGGGTTTAGGGTTTAGGGTTGAGGGTTTAGGGTTTTGACCCTGAACCCTAAGACGTAAGGACAGCGACAGGAGGTGGCAGTCTCAGATAGCGCGCCTCATGAAAGAAAGGCTTCGGCCATGGGTATGGAACGGTAGCAGGCAGAAGAAACCCTATATCGGGTACATGTGGGAAGCACCCTGTTCTTCCCCGAAACCCCCAACACCCAAACTCTTAAAAAAAGATCCTGGCTCAGGCTCTAAGTTCCCTGGTGGGTTTAGGGTTTAGGGTTTAGGGTTTAGGGTGTAGCGTTTAGGGTTTAGGGTTTCGGTTTAGGGTTACAAGGGTTGCCCTTACCCTTAGACAGGCTTTTTGGGGGTTCAACGGGGGATATCAGGGACACTGATTGGGGTATTGGGGTTGAGCCTCCTACCCGAAAGTCTCACCCAGAAAGCCCTAAAGCCCTATGATTTTCCAAGCCCTTGAGGCTAAGCCTTCAACGTAAACCCGATTAACTCCAAACCCCCAAGCGCAAAAATCCATCCCAGAATGATCTGGTGCTATACCGCCAAGCCCTCCTCCAGTGTTTGAATGCCCTGCATTGCAGAAGCCCGGCGCGTTGAAAGCACCAAACCTGTCAAGCCCAAGCAATCTAAATCCCAAGCCCTCAAACCGAAACCCTAAACCGATCCAAAACCCTACACCCCAAAACCCCTCAACCCTAAACCCCAAGCCCTAAACCCCTTAACCCCTAGAGCCCCGAAGTTCGAAACCTTAAGGCCAAAACCCAAAACCCCTCAGCCCTGCACCCAAAACCCCTTCACCCTAAACCCTAAACTTCCGAACCGAAAACCCTTAACCCTAAACCCTAAACCCGAAACTAAACCCTAAACCCTAAACCCTAAACCCTAAACCCTAAACCCTAAACCCTAAACCCTAAACCCTAAACCCTAAACCCTAAACCCTAAACCCTAAACCCTGCGAACCTGAAACCCTCGAGCCACCTCCTCCATCTTCGCCAGCTCCCGGTCTTCGGGAGGCGCTCCCTTCAGCAACCTCAGAGGGTGTGGTTTGGGGGCTGGGGTTTGGGGTTTAGGGTTTAGGGTTTAGGGTTTAGGGTTTAGGGTTGAGGGTTGAGGGTTTAGGGTTTAGGGTTCAGGGTTTAGGGTTTTGGGGTTTAGGGTGGAGCAAACTCATAGGGTGTGGGGTGGGGTTTGGGGTTTAGGGATTTGGCGTCTAGGGCTTGGGGTTTGGGGCTTGGGATTGGGGTTCAGGGTTTGGGCTGGCGTTTACGGTTTGGGGTTTCGGGCTGGGGGTTTGGGGTTTAGGGTTTGGGATTGGGGTTTAGTTTGGGATTCGGGATTGGGGTTTGGGGTCTGGGTCAGGGTTTGGGGTTTAGGGTTTAGGGTTTGGGGCATGGGATTTGGAATTTAGGGGTTGTTTCGGTTTTCGGGTTGAGGGTTTGGGGTTGCTTGGGATTTTGGGGTTTGGGGTTTCGGGGTTTCGGGTTTCGGGGTTTCGGGGTTTTGGGGTTTAGGGCCCGGGTGTTGGGCTCATGGTGTGGGGTTTGGGGTTTAGGGTGCAGGGTTTGGGGTTGAGGGTTTGGGATTTAGGGTTGGGGGTTTCGGGCGTAGGGTTTGGGAATAGGGCTTGGGTTTTACGGTTTTGAGTTTAGGGATTCGGGTTTGGAGTTTAGGGATTGGGATTTGGGGTCAGGGTGTGGGGTCTTGGGTGTAGTTTTGGAGTAAGGGTGTGGGGTTGGTTTGGGGTTTGTGGTGCAGGGTCTGGGATTAAGGTTTGGGGCTTAGGGTTTGGGATTTTCTAGTGTAGGGTTTAGGGTTTGGGGTTCGGGTGCAGGGTTTGGGGTTTAGGGGTCTGGGGTTTGGGAGTAGGGTTTAGGGTGTGGGGTGTAGGGTTTTGGATTTAGGGGCCTGTTGAATTAGAATGGGCGTGTTGGTGAGGGTGTCTGCTTCTAAGCTCTGGGGTTGAGGGTTCTAGCTTTCAAAGGCTTTGGGTTTGGGGTTTCGGCTGTAGGGCTGAGGGTGACTCACATCTGCCCTGGCTGCAATTCTCAGCCCTTCAAAATCTCAAGGCCACCTTCTTTCGAGCGTTTAGACATATCAGCGTAATAACAGTGAGGGTTGAGGGTTGAGGGTTTAGTGTTCAGGGCTAGGGTTTAGGGTTTGGGTTTAGGGTTTAGGGTTTAGCCTTCAGGGTTCTGGGTTCAAAGTTTAGGGTTTAGGGTTGAGGGTTGAGGGGTTCAGGTCGAGGGTGGCCACTTAAAGTGTGTTAGAGGGAGCTGGTAGAGGTTGGTGGGTGCTTGCGAGGACAAGCTGCTGACGCTTCTCCCCAGCAGGGCGCCAGTTGTCGACATATCCTAGGTTGCAAGTTGTGGGTTCAGGGTTTAGGGTTTTGGGTTTAGGGTTTAGGGTTTAGGGCTTAGGGTTTAGGATTTAGGGTTTCGCAAGCACCTTAAACCCTGACGTACCTACTGCTTAATTAGGTTCTATGAGATCCTATAAAAAGTTTTCAGGGGAAGAAGGGTGCCAACCCTAAACCCTAAACTCTAAACTCTAAACCCTAAGCCCTAAACATCACTGCATCCTCGTATCGGAACAGCTTGCCGTGGGACTCGTCGGTGATCTCCCGCGCAAGCGTGGGAAACGCCTGCGGGGTGCATGGATTTCGTCAGTTTAGCGTTTTGGGGCTTAGGGTGTGGGGATATGGTCAGGTCTCTAAATCATGGTTCCTCGTGGGTTCCCACACACAAGAGTTGCAGTATAGTCAGAGGGAACAAAGAACAGACATGAGGCAACTGCTCAATTTTTGTCATAAAGTTCGCTACCGAAAACTACAGCAAGTCCCTAAACCCCACGTGCTTCTCCCCCGAAACCCTATCCCGAAACCCCAACCCTAAACCCTAAACCCTAAACCCTAAACCCTAAACCCTAAACCCTAAACCCTAAACCCTAAACCCTAAACCCTAACCTAAACCCTAAACCCTAAACCCTAAACCCTAAACCCTAAACCCTAAACCCTAAACCCTAAACCCTAAACCCTAAACCCTAAACCCTAAACCTAACCGCAGTGTACTTGCCGAGGTTTGACACAGCTGCAATCCAGTCCCTCAAGATCCCTCAAGCAACCGAGATTGTCACCTTCACTACATTATGCCCCCTTTTGAGGTCACTGTTACAAGGCGGCCCCCAGTAGTTAGGGTACCCAACAACGGTTTAGGGTTTAGGGTTAATACATCCCAAGCCTCCAAGTAGCGGCGCTGAAGGTACGCTTCTTTGGATTGGGGGGGGGATGTCCCCCCTCCCCCTCACCCCCCCACCCCCCGCCCCCGAGGTTAGGGTCCCCTGACAAATGCTGAGCAAGTTATAGGCCTTCTCGTTGGGGATAGGTAAAGCTTAGGGGGCCTGAGGGAGTAGTGGGGAGTATTAGGGAACCTTGGGTTACATACCCTAAACCCTAAACCCTAAACCCAAAATCCTAAACCCTAAACCCTAAACCCTAAACTCCTAAACCCCAAACCCCCCTCCCCTAGGAACCCTATGTGCAAGCCGCCTCCAGATGCCTAACCAGGCGCCGCTTGGCCAGATAGACCCGGATGGCCTTCCCAAGAGCAACCCTAAACCCTAAACCCTAAACCCAAAACCCAAAACCCAAAACCCAAAACCCTAAACCCTAAACCCTAAACCCTGAACCCTAAACCCTAAACCCTAAACCCTAAACCCTAAACCCTAAACCCTAAACCCTAAACCCTAAACCCTAAACCCTAAACCTCAGAAGCCCAAGATGCTGGAAGGACTTCTGAAGGACTCTTAGTACAAGGGGGAACATCCCAAACTGCAACCAAAGTGGAAAAACCGTGGCCTTCTGAAGGATTCGGGCAAAGCGGATCTGGTTCTGAAGTCGGATTTCGTCCGACTTCCGCTGCTTCCGCAGGGCGTGGCGCATGGTCTCGTGCCACTTGCGCCGAATCTTCAGGCCCCGGTACCTGGGCGCTTTATGCCATACCACCCAAAAAATCTACACAACCACACACACACACACAGACACTTAGTCCCAAAAGCCTAAACTATGTAACCCTATGGCCCTACATATAACCCATAACCCAAAAACCCTAAAACCATAAAAAACTAAAGCCCTAAACCCTTAACCCTTAACCCTAAAACCCTGTAACTCCAAAAACCCTGCGAGTAGCCAGCTCTGGATCTTCAGGCTCGCGTTCACCATGGTCTGCAGTATGCGCCACATGGTGCAGTTGATCCTCCGAAGACATCTAAGGTTAGGGTTTAGGGTTTAGGGTTTAGGGTTTAGGGTTTAGGGTTTAGGGTTTAGGGTTTAGGGTTTAGGGTTTAGGGTTTAGGGTTTAGGGTTTAGGGTTTAGGGTTTAGGAATCCAGGGCATCAGGCTTTTCGGGGTTTAGGGCTTTGGATTTACCTGGAAGATCGTACAAAAAACCCCCAAAGCCCTAAACCCTAAACCCCCCAGATCACACCCTAAACCCCAAACCCTAAACCCCAAACCCCAAACCCTAAACCCTAAACCCCCAAAAACTCACAAAGGGCGGATCCTCAAGCAACGCGCCACTCGCTTCGCGAGGATGCATCGCCACCAGGCCTGTAGCCTCGTGGCACCTCTCCGTGGCTTGTGCAGAGGGGATTCCAGGAGGGCTTCCTTGGGTAGGTTTGGGGGCCCTGTGACGGAAAACATAACGTTATGAGGATTACATAGGGGGATTAAGGGCAAAAAAGATGAAAAAACTACATTCAATCCTATCCGTGGTTCGGGTTTGGGGCTTCTAGGGCTTCTTGGGCTTCTGGGGTTTCTAGGATGGTTTTGGGTTTGTGGAGTTTATGGGGTTTAGCAGGTTTGTTTATGGGGTCAAGCGGGCCGGGCTTCTAATACGAAGTTGGGCTTCCGGGTGTGGGGTTAATTTGGAACCTGAGAACCCAGAAACCCTCAACCCCTGAACCCTAAACCCCAAACCCCAAACCCTAAACCCTAAACCCTAAACCCTAAACCCTAAACCCTAAACCCTAAACCCTAAGCCGCTCAACTCTGAAGCCCTGAAAGCACCAATGAACCCAACTGCACATCAGACAGTACAAGCCCTGAAGCCGGTAAACAGAAAACTGAAACCCTAAACCCTAAACCTTAAACCCTACATGTTGTAAAAAACCCTGAAAGTCACCTTGCTCCCGGTCTGCAGGGCCATATTTCAGGCTGTGGAGACTGTGATGCAGATTGTAGAGCTGATCCTGACGCAGGATGTTTTTGGGCTTGGGGTTTAGGGTTTCGGGTTTAGGGTTTCGGGTTTAGGGTTTAGGGTGTAGGGGTTAGGATGTATAAGGTTACCTACAGTAAGCTCCGTCAAAGTTGGAACATGGTTTAGGGTGGATTAGTGCTGCGATTTCCTTTAGCAACACTCTTGGGGTACGAGGAGAACGATATTCCAACTCTTGGGAGTTTACTGTAAATACCTGGACTCTCTTCCTCGAATCCAGTGCACACTGAACTGCCAGGATCAGAATGCATTCACCCCCCCCCCCCCCCCCCCCGAGCTGCATGCCACCTGCCTGTGACACTTCTGCAATGGAACCCCTAAACCCTAAACCCCAAACCCTAAACCCTAAACCCCAAACCCTAAACCCGAAACCCTAAACCCTAAGCCCTAAACCCTAAACCCTAAACCCTAAACCCGAAACCCTAAGCCCTAAATCCCTGATTGAAAACCCCCGGGGCTCCTCCAGTTGCTCCCCCAGGGTCACCAGATCAGGAGTCGGTGTTGCAATCGCCTTGAGGTTGAAGAAATGAGGGTTAGGACTTGGTGGGTTTCGGGTTTAGGGTTTAGGGTTTAGGGTTTAGGGTTTCGGGCTTAGGGTTTAGGGTTTAGGGTTTAGGGTTTAATTAGGGCTTAGGGCTTAGGGCTTAGGGCTTAGGGCTTGGGGTTTAGGTTTAGCGGTCCGTGGGGTTTATCGGGTATACATATGGGGTATATAAGCGTTCCCATTCCCACATAAAGGCCCACATTCAGGGATCATGCAACTACCCCAAGGTAGAGGCAAAGTCACACACACACACACGCACAACTTACATACACAACTCATACATATGTGTCTATGTCTGCTTCTAGTTCTATTTCTAGTTCTAGTGGCGATGTACATGTCCTAACGAAAACTTAAATTCTGTATCTAAATGCATATTTCCATGTTTTGCAGATTTCTGTCTATACAGATAAGTAGCTAGGTACATATACATGTACAAGTTGCACAATTTCAAAGATAAACGGCATAGATGATTTAGATGTATTGCCTAGATGAAGATAGAGGTTGAGATAAAGGGAAACATGTGAATGCAGAGAATAACCATGATACCCAAAACCCCAAAGCCCCCGAAGCTGAATGACAGAAATCCCATGGACCACAAACCTTCAACGATAGCTCAGTCTAAGCAACTCAGCAAAATTCCTGAAATAAAGGCCCTAAGCTCCCAGACCCTAAACCAAAAAACGAAACCCTAAACCCAAAAGCCGAGAATTTAGGGTTTGCATCCTAGGGTTTTGGGATTTACCTTGCTGAAGCTCCAGACCCATCAAAAGTGTTAGAGATCCATCCCGCAGACCCCAGAAGTCCTTAATACCGAACCTGCAACCCTCAAACCTGCGGGGTTTAGGGTTTAGGGTTTAGGGTCTAGGGTTTAGGGTTTAGGGTTTGGGGTTTAGGGTTTAGGGTTTAGGGCTTAGGGCCCTCAACCCTCCACCCCAAACCCTCATCCCGGCCCTACCCCCACGCCCTAAACCCTAATCCCTAAACCCAAAACCCAAAACCCAAAACCCTAAACCCTAAACCCTAAACCCACGCCCTAAGGCCCCCGACGGCCATCGCGCGCTGTTCGCGGACGACCGTGCGAACAGCTTTTTGGAAGCCTCAGCTCGGATGAACGGGCTTGGGGTTTTAGGGTGTAGGGTGTTGAGGGTTTAGGGTTTAGGGTTTTAGGGTTTAGGGTTTGGGATTTGGGGTTTAGGTTTGGGGCTTGGGGCTTAGGGTTTGGAATCGTAGGGCTCTAGGGTAATTTAAGATCTAGGCTTCAATCTTGAGGTTCGAAATTCGGTTTTAAGGTCTCGGGCTTTAGAGCTGTTCAGCTTCTAAAGGAGTTGATGTTGTTGGTCCGTTATAACAGTATCTATCTGAAGTGGACTATTCAAAACAAACACACATTGCACGCACGCACGCGCGAACACACCCTCACCCTAAACCCTAAACCCTAAACCCTAAACCCTGAACCCTGAACCCTAAACCCTAAACCCTAAACCCACAAGCAGTCTAGGATCATCACCTGCGGCGATGTAGGAGTGAGGGGTCGGGCTCAGAGCTTCGGGCTCGGAGTCCACGGTTTAGGGTTTAGGGTTTAAGTTTAGGGTTTAGGCTTTAGGGTTTAGGGTTTAGGGCTTGGGGTGTAGGGCTTAGGGATTACTCCAGGGCTTAGGATTCAAGGTAGGGGTCTTGGCTTAGAAGCTCCCGAGTTCGCCCCACATCCCCCCCAAAAACGCAACATGCAAAGGGAGCAAACATCCTAAGCCCTAAACCCTAAACCCTAAACCCTAAACCCTGAACCCTAAACCTGAAACCCTAAACCCTAAAAGATGAAGCCCCAAAGCGCCGAAGCCCTGAAAGCCTCCTTGAGTTGCTGGAGCTCCTTCGCTGGGTCCTAAACCCTAAACCCTAAACCCTAAACCCTAAACCCTAAACCCTAAACCCTAAACCCTGAACCCTGAACCCTGAACCCTAAACCCTGAACCCTGAACCCTGACTGGGCAGTTTTTCGGCTGCAAGGCTCTCCACGTTGGGGTTGTCAGTGCCGGACTCCAGCACCATCTTGTGGATCAAAAGCTGCCCATCCAGAAAAGCCATGGATTCGAACCAGGAAAACCATCGCATGAGCTTGATCCACCGTCTTCCTTGCAAAAAGCACAAGGCACGTGAGCTGGATCAACGGGCCTTTTCCCCAAGAAGCTGGGGGCAGATTCCAGAGAGCGGAACAGCGAAACCCTAAACCCTAAACCCTAAACCCTAAACCCTAAACCAGCGGAACAGCGCCTCCGCCTCCAATTTTGAGCTCGGTTCCTCCTTGCACGTTGTTCTCGACATATCAGATGCACAAAGCGGAGCCACGAACTGGACTCATACGAGGTGGTTTAGGGTTTAGGGTTTAGGGTTTAGGGTTTAGGGTTTAGGATTTAGGGTTTAGGGTTTAGGGTGTGGGGTTTGGGGTTTTGGGTTTAGGGTTTAGGGTTGAGGGTTTAGGGTTGAGGTTTAGGGTTTAGGGTTGAGGGTTGAGGGATTAGGGTTTAGGGTTTAGGGTTTAACTCTTTAAGCTTTGCCACCTTCTTTTACAAGAACTGGGACGTACCGAAAGGTCCATACGCCAGGTTGGCGACGAGAGTCAGCTGAGAAGCGGCCTGTAGCAAAAGCCCCCAAGACCGTAAGAAACAACAAAAAGCCCTAAACCCTATTTAAACCCTAAACCCTAAACCCTAACCCTTCAGGCCCTCAAAGCCCTAAACCCTTAAAGCCCCCAAAGCCCTGAACCCTAAACCTAAGGCCCCAAAACCCTAAAACCCCAAACCCGAAGGCCCCAAAGCCCTAAGCCCTAAGCCCTAAACCCTAAGGCACCAGAGCCGAAACCGTAAAGCCGTAGAACCTCCCTCAAAGACAGCCCTAAACCCTAAACCCTAAACCCTAAACCCTAAACCCTAAACCCTAAACCCTAAACCCTAAACCCACCTCAACCTCCACTTCGTCCACGTGGCGTGATCTCAACTTCAAACGCTTCTCCTGCTTTGCCGCTCTTGCTTCACTAGGGTTTGGGGCTCAAGGTTTAGGGTTTAGGGGTGTATGGAACCCTAGACCCTAAACCAGAACACGATTAACCCTGTAGACCCAAAAGGAACCGAACTACGGTCAGAATGACTCCTTCTTACCAAGCTAAGCCCGGTTTTTTGGGCATTTCGGTTTAGGGCTCTTTGGGGCTTAGAGTGCTGAGAGTTCAAGGCATAGGGCTCAGGGAGTTCAGGGGTTTGGGCTTGAGGGCATTTAGGTCTTCTCAGGCTTCTCTTTCGGGTTCAGTTTGGGGTTTCATGGCTCAGGGTTTAGGGTTTAGAGTTAGGGGCCCTGCCTACTACCCAACCACAAAACGAATACACATCATACACAGCAACAGAGACCCCAAAACGGGGAGCCTAATTTGTCAATGGCCCCAACTTGAAGAAAGCTTCTCCACAAGAGTACGACAACCTAGCCACGCAAAGGTGTCTAGAACCAACACACGCGCATGCCCCCAATGCTGTGCCTCCACTTTAGGGCTTAGGGTCTAGGGCCCTAAACCCCAAACTCCAATCCCCAAACCCTAAGCGCTTTAACCGTAAACCCCAAACCCCAAACCCCAAACCGCAAACCCCAAACCCCAAACCCCAAACCCTAAACCCTAAACCCATCAAGCGACCAGAACCTCGAACCCGGACTCCGCACCCCCAATGCACAAGCCCAAGGTTTAGGGTTTAGGGTTTAGGGTTTAGGGTTTAGGGTTTAGGGTTTAGGGTTTGGGGTTTAGGGTTTGGGGTTTGGGGTTTAGGGTTTAGGGTTTGGGGTTTGGGGTTTAGGGTTTAGGGTTTGGGGTTTAGGGTTTAGGGTTTGGGGTCTAGGGTTTGGGGTTTGGGCTTAGGGTTTGTAGGGTTTGGGGTCTAGGGTTTAGGGTTTGTAGGGTTTGGGGTTTAGTGTTTCGGGTTTGGGGTTTAGGGTTTCGGGTTTGGGGTTTAGGGTTTAGGGTGTCCAGGGTTGTCCCCCTGCAAGGCAATCTCCTGCTCGGTGATGCGACTTTCCTCCAAACGTAGCCTCTCCTCGCCTCAGGGTTTAGGATCTAGGGTTGGAGGGGGAGCTTGAGGGGACTTTGGGGCTTCGGGCTTCGGGCTTCGGGCTTCGGGCTTCGGGCTTCGGATTTGCGGGGGGGGGGGGGGGGGGGGGGGTGGAGTGTTTAGGGCTTAGAATTCAAGGGTTTAGGATATTTGGGGTTTAGGCCAGTGGGGCCAGGATGGCGCCTTGGGATTCAAAACTCATCATCCCTGACATCGTGCGCAAGCAAGGCGCTTCAGGGATCATGGGTCTTGGGTCTTGGGTTTAGGGTTTAGGGTTTAGGGTTTAGGGTTTAGGGTTTAGGGTTTAGGGTTTAGGGTTTAGGGTTTAGGGTTTAGGGTTTAGGGTTTAGGGATTTTCCAGGATGGGCGGTTCGACCCTACCACCCCTAAAAATGGAGCCCTTTCTAGAGGTCGTTTATGGGGATCGTGGGGCCCTAAACCCTAAACCCTAAACCCTAAACCCTAAACCCTAAACCCTAAACCCTAAACCCTCAACCCTAAACCCTCAACCCTAATAGCCCATCCGGAATATCTTTGTTACCCGAAACCCTACACCCCAAACCCTTTCTAAACCAAGCAACTGTCAGAATCCGGGACGCATTGACGACCGGCCGTAAATCCAAGCCTCCCAGAGACTCCAATACGACTTCCTTAACTTATTATTGAATTCCACCTTAGGTTTAGGGTCTAGGCTTTAGGGTAGAACCCTAAACCCTAAACCCTAGGCCCTAAACCCTAAACCCTAAACCCTAAAACCCTAAACCCTAAACCCTAAACGTGTGAGGTTTAGGGTTTAGCAGCACGGCGCCGAGCCACTTTCGATCGCGCGAGCTTTCTCAAGCTCCTCCAAGGCCAAGGATGTGAACCCATAAGGTCCTAACCCTAAACACTAAACCCTAAACCCTAAACCCCTGAACTCCTAAACCCTAAACTCCTAGACTCCTAAACTCCTAAACTCCTAGACCCTAAACCCTAAACCCCTGAACTCCCAAAACCCTAAGCCCTAACCTCCCATGCCCTCAGGCCTTGAACCCTAAACTCGAAAACCCTGAACCCCACACCTTAAACTTCTTAACCTTTAACCCCTGATAACCTTGAAATCTACACACAAAAAGCCGCAAAACCAACAGCTAAAACTCTAAACCTGTTTTAAACCCTAGCCCTGAAACTCGCGAGAACCCTTGAAGCCTGTAAACCAGTCACCCTCAAACCCCATAGACCCTAGATGCCCTAAACCCTAACCCTAAACCCTAA